CGGGCGGGGGGAAGCCGGAGCCAGTGGGGCCTTGCCAGGGGCGACGGTGCTGGCGGAAGCCAGCGGTTTATTTGGGCTGGACAGAGGCTGCTTGCGCCGAGGAGCGCGATGGACGGGGAGCCCCTCGCCTCGGCCGCGGGCACCCGCGCTGCAGCGGCCCCAGATGCTAGCGGGAAAGCGCCGCCGCCCGCATCCGCATTCCCGGCCGCGGCCCCGGCCCCGGCCCCATTCCCAGTCCCATCCTCGGCCCCAACCCCAGCCTCCTCCTTCTTCTCCTCCTCTCGCCGCCTCTTCCTCTGTGGACTGGCGGCCGCCATGACAGGGCGGGCAGTACGCGTGCGCGGCGGCCGCGCCAAAGAGTGGCGCAGGCTGAAGGGACGCGCGGCTTCCGCCGGACAGCTCCTCCCCCGGGCCGGGGCCGCACTGCAGCGCCCGCAGCGCTGGGACCCCCGGCATCACTCCTGCTGCAGAAGGCGGGGCCTGGGGCCGCCTCGGATTAGTGGCCCTTCCCCATAGCCCCGCCTGCTGGGGTAGAGCAGCCAATCAGCTGCTACAGAAGGTACCTCCCCGCTCTGCAGGCTCCTCGCGCTCCACGTGCGAGACACCAGTCTCTTGTGGTCTCCTGCAGATATTTATGCGCTTGGTGGCTTTGCCTCCCTCCCCACTTCCTTTGGTCACAGGGATGTGACTTCCAACAAGGCCAGACTCCAGGTTCTGTAATGGGTGAGATCAAAGAGACCATATTTCTCTTTCCTTCTGTTAAACCCCATTAGGGTTGCAAGAAATGTATCTCCATCTCCAACCTCCCCCGGAACGCGCATTGAGACTGTGACTTGGACCCAATGTAAAAGTGGCTTTTGAGGGCCAGATCCTGGGAGATTCATGACTCTCCCATCCCCTCACTAGGTAGCTGTATTCCAGCAAGACTTGTCTCTTCTCTCCTCTGGGTACTTCCGTCCAATTGGGATCCGGGCTTGCTGGGGAGATGCCTGCCTGAACCAGTGCATCTAACAGCAGTACTGACTGCAGTGTAATTAAAGGGAGAGGGCTGCCCCCAACATTTAGCCCACCTACCTAATGGTTAACACGCTCGCCCAGCTGAAGCTGCACCAACAGGTGGCAAGGAACACGAGCCACCGGGCAAGAAAGAAAAAGCAACAGAGAATCTGGCTGGCCCTTCCCTGAGAGGGAGCCCAGCCCACAGTGCTGTTTCTGTATGTTGCACTGAATAATCCATTGGATAAAATGAAGTTTGAGCCCACGTCTACTCTAGGAGAACAGTCAAGTTTAGGATTGGATTAACTAGCACATATTAGCTAAGCATGCCTATACTACAATAATCAGCCATTGTTGCTAGACAGGGTGAAGCTGGAGATTTGTTCAATCTAAAATCCCCCTTGAAGAAGGATTCTCTTCTGGTCTGATCCAAGATGATGCGAGGGACAGGGGAGAGAGAAACCAAAGAAAACAAGCCTGAAATATTGCTCTCTCTCACCATGTCTATCAATTCACCCTGAGCTATTAGAGCTTAGTCCCTCTCACCAACATGAGATCCACCATTAAAATGAGAAGCAAGAGATATGAAAACAATATATTTCTTCTTTTTATGTAAACATGTTTAAAATTGCATTTGAAAAACATGCATTGCAAAATAGCCCCTGAGTCTTCCTATTCATAGTTCCTCTTCCTCCAAGTATCACTGATCTAATGAGAGAACTTCATGTCAGTTGATGTACTCCTTGGGTCCTAGAGAATGTTAAGGTGGGACACATTGGTGTTGTAACATCTCAGAACTGGGTTGTGGAAGGTCATTGAGCAGTAAGTGGTACATTGGTCTCACAAATGAGCTAACTGGGGTTCAAGCCTCTGCTGTCACAGACTTCCTGCATGGCCTTTACCAGATCACCTGAGACTACATCCAATAAAGGACTCTGGTGTCTAAAGCAGGTCACAGGCTGAATTTTGGCACCCAAGCTCAAAAGTGCAATTTTAAAAGCTAGCTGCTGCCGAGCCCTGGAAGTGCCTGAATTCATACACCCCTCCCTTTTCAACCATACAGCCCTCTGGAGGCTTAGAAGTCTGCTTCTGCACAGGCCCAAAACAGTCTCACTTTAGGCAGCGTAGTGCCCATCTCATGCCCACGCTTGTTTAGAGATACAAAAATAAGGCCTTTCTCCACGTAACTCTTGAGGGCCCTCATTTGCTGGTGCACTCTGTGCATGTCTAATGATGACAACATTGGTTTCCTACAAAATGTGCTAGTAGCTGCTTTCTTTTAAAGTGCAGTATGTGGGGGTGCCCACCTGTTATGTAATAACCTAGTTGCTAAAGCACTCACCTGGGAAGAGAGAGGTAGTTAGCTGTGTTAGTCTGAAGTTGGACAGAAGGCAGGGCAGGGCAGCACCTCAAAGGTTAACAGTTTCAGAGAAGCATAAGCATTCATAGGTGACAGCTTACTTCATCCAACACTATCTGCTGAAGCAGGCGGTCACCTATGAAATCTCATGCCTCTTTGAACTAATTAAATCTCTAAGGTGCTACCCTGCCCTGCCTTCTGCCTCTCCCAGGAAAGTTTATTTTCCCTCTTTGGCCTGAAGGGATTCAAACCCCCATGTCTCCCAGGAGAGAGCCCCAACTACCAGACTACGAGTCTGGGTGGGACATGCTCCACCAGTTCTCTTGAAAAAAAGGCCACTATGCAAAAAGGAATTCAGTTTCATCAGGCCAGTTTCAACAGGAAGGTTGGAGCGTACCTTTGTCTGATGGTCAGAACACAGACCTGGGATGTGGAAGATGTGGGTTCATATCTCTTCATGCTAAGGAGGAACTTAAAGCCGGAGGATGACAGGATTTCATATCATGTTAATGGCCGGCTCCAGGCAGCTCCCTACTGAATGCGTGATTGTTTTGGATCCTTGTACTCAGATGCCTAACTCTTACTGTGCACTGTATAAGGAGCCTAGATGCTTCACTCAGGGATTTGGATTCCACACCACTCCAGGGGCCAAGCAGCTAAGAGTTAAGGCTCTGCAGCACCTCAGCTGTAGGCACCTCGGTCCTTCATTAGCTCCTAGTCTCTCTGTGTTTCAGTTCCCCATGCATAAAATGGAAGCACAGTACTGACCTGCATCTTTGGGATCTCATGAAAGTCAACTTCATAATGACTGTGAGGTACTTTGGTATAACAGTGGTGTCCAGAATTTGCTGCCCTATTGTTGTGGAAGGTCCATGGAAGAAACTTGCATTCCCAAGGCTGAATGAAATGCAGTGTAGATCCATCTAGCCCTGTAATAAGGCTGCCTGGGAGAAGGGGCTGAGGGAAAACCTAACGACAAGCTCACCTGGTGAATGACACAAAAGAATTCACAGGAGAATGGTCTCTCAGCATATGGCAAGAGAAACTGGAAACTGAGGCAAATTTTAGTGGATGGCTGGGCAGCACTGAGCACACAGAGAGATTGCCATCAACCCTACAGCAAGTAGGTTTTAGTTACTCATCTAAAAAAACTATTGTCCTCTTCAGGGACCAGCAACTAAGGCTTGTCTAGAGCAGGATAAAAGGTAAAATATGCATTATAAAATGCTTTCACAGACACCTTTCATCTGCCTCTAGAAAAGCCATTAACTGAGTTCTTCAAGGTATAGGACATCCCTTTTTTAAATCAGCAGTGCCACATGGTTGTAGCACTGGTCAGTGCTTCAGTTGCTGTAATTTGCCACCTGCACATCAATAGGGGGATGCTGAGTAACCATGGTGCAGCTACCTGGAGAGCAGGGAGGAAAAAAATCTAGACAAAGAAGTCACAGCATGATGCTGCAATGAGATAAACGTGTCAAAGCAGCATGGCACTCGAGGGTGACAAGGTGATGTGGAAATTGCTATGTGGGGTCAAGATGTGCCACTGCCATCTGGGCTCCAAAACCCTAAGCCATACATCACTAACTGCCTTCCTCAAAGGACTGAGAGTTTGCCAACACTGTGGCTTCAGGAGCAAATCAATTCCATGTGCAGTATGACAGAACCATGTGCAAGCCCCAAGTCTTTAGCACCAGAAACTGATGCCCAGTTGCCAGTATTGTCAGACATTGCTACCCTCAGCAGCCTCAAAACAGCCTGATATTAGTGCGCACAGGAGAGAGCTGCCTGATGCTTCCACTCGAAAGTCCTTGTGGGAGTTAGTTCCCATGTGCGATTCTGTACGTGCTTTGCAGAGAATGAAGCTAGACCTTAGCTCCAGTCAGCTCCAGAGACTCTGAAAATACCCGTGTGGATTCCTGGTCCATTCCCAAGGATGTGCTTCCTTATGGTGTTCCCTTTCTCTTGCAGGACTCCAGTCACTCGGTTGTGCTTGGGGTGCTCCGACAGAGCTCCTGTAGGTCTGGGGGACATAGGACAGAAACCAGGTTCACTAAGGGACTGATGCTGCAGAGTTGTGAGAACTGCTTTTGTTCCTCTCCTGCTGGAGAGAGATTTAATGTTGTGCCTCATTAACAGGATATATATGCTGAACTCTTTCTGTTTAGATCTGCCCCTGATGTTTCACAGGGACACAAAATTCAAGTCCCATCCCACACTGTTCTACATTGTCTATGGACTGTTAAATAACTGCTGTGGAAATTATCCCTGCATCCAGGAAGCCTCTTACTAGTACAAGGCAAAAGAGAAATGCTGTCTGTGAATACAGGAACACTCCAGGTAGCTTAGCTTAGTGTCTGCAGAGCAAAAAGCAAACATGCTGCAAGCCCCTGTTATTAAGCTGACTGCCCCCTACAATTTACTTACAGCGCAAGACTGTGTCTTTAATCTGCCTGAAGCCATTTTCCTTGAATGTCACATGGATGTAATAGAGGCATCTCAGCTCCCGGGGGTAGTCCTTCCGGTCAATGTCCTTCAGCACTGGAATGGTACGCCCATTGGCCATGGGAGCCTCAGCTAATGCTTGGTGCATTTGGTACCTGCACCAGGGGTCCTGGAGGAAGCCAGGGGTTATTACCATGACCCAGCAGTGGCTGTTCTGGACAGCCTCACAGAGCTCAGTCACAATGGCACTGCCTGGTGTGGCATCCCGCATCTGCAGGAAGCAACGGAAGGTCTCAGGCTGACTCTCCAGGTAGGAGACCATCTCCTCGACAAATGCAAAATCCCCTTCATTGTGACAAATGCACACATCATAGCTTTTGGTCCAGCGGGCACTTCCTGAGCTGCTGATGTTCACCTGGGAGGCAGAAGTCAGTGGTGACCTTGGGTGGAGCACTGAACTGCTGGCAGAAGAACTGGAGCTTCTCACCGGGGAGGAGGTGGAGGAGAAAGGTGAGCGTGTGGGAGTAGCAGTTGAGCTGCTTCCTGAGTTGGAGCTTTGCTTTGGTTTCTGCAGAACCCGTTTCAACCAGCCTAGGGAGTTTAAGAGACTAAGATAAGATGCATCGAAGGCTGAAATGCCTCCTGAACCAGTCTACAGCCCCTCTCCACAAGCCACTTCTCCCTGGATGTACTTAGTGAAGCATGCTTAATTTCCTAATTCACCAGCATGGGGCCATTCACAGCCAAGTGACAGGACAAGGATTAGCTGTGGCCTCAGAATCTGAGCAAGCTGGTCTGAAACTAACTGTGATGGTACCACATAGTCAGCCCTTCTTTGCAGCAGACAGGTCTAGTATAGCCTACAAGAATGGTCCACACTAGACTTGGGGAAAGGTGCAAGAACCCCAGAAAAGCAGATGGGAATAATCTGCTGCTGCCTGGGTCTCATCTTGGTCTCTAACAGGGACTGCCCTAAGCCACTGGTTCTCAATCTTTAGCAGCCCTCTGTAACTTTTCTCAATTTGGTGGCACCCCAACTGAGAACCACTGTTGTACTGTCTCAGTGTACCAGGCAGTAAACTCCTTATTCAGTAAGGAGTTCACTGGACTCTTAACACTTTCCTTTCCGCATAACAGTGCAAGATGGCAGCAGTGCAATTGTTGACTTCTGTCCACACTCGCATTAAAAAACCAAATACAACCCCCTCCCAATAGATTGATTTTTCTGTCACTTACACAAGGAAGTCTAACTTGGTTGCAATGGAATTACTCCTGATTTACACCACATAATAATGGTGGTGGACAGCAAAATAAAGTGCTCTTCTCTTTTTTCCCTTTTGTGACAGATTCCCATTGGTTATGAATGGGATTGTTGCAAATGGAATACAGTAAAGGTAAAATACTGAATTAAATTAATTTAAATTGACCTGATTTGTCCTAGCTTATGAAACACACTGGATTTAAAGGAAGTAAGAGGTTGTGAACTTTTTAAAAAGCCACCTGCATTTGAGTGGGAGTCAGGCTTGCCGTACTAAACACTGATAAATTGTTTTTTACATCACCACAGAAATACCATGTGCTCTGTCAGCCCTGCTGTCTTTGAGGTAGTAGTTCTGAAGCTGGGTTCCTGCAGAAGTCAGGAGAAGAGTTCCCTCCATTGTGGGAGGTGGTATAACTAGCCCACCCCACTTCCAGCATATTGAAACATCTTGCTCAGTTTGAGAGTGATGTCAGGTTCCTTTCCTAAATTGCTATAGTTAATGCATATTCAAGATTCTTTAATCATGGTAGAGCCCAGCAATTTAAACTTATAGGGAATAATCAGAAGTCCACTTAACCCTGCCTCTCATCTGAGATAAAGTATCTGGCATATCTGGACAGGTTATCCCATTTCTATAAAAAAAGGAAAATGGGTGAAAGCTTGGCAGGTTACCAGCAGAGCAGGAACTAACACTCAGTGTCCTGGTCTCAGCCCCTCATTCACCAAACTCATACTACCTTAGAAACATCTTATTTACTCACCAGCCATCTTAGGGAGGAAAACTCAGCTGAGATGCATCCACATTAATCTTGGCCTGCAAGCAAGAGTGGGAGAGAAAAAGATCTGTTAGAAGCTCTGGCAAAGGAAGTAACATTCAGGCTTTTCCTTGCTTGACTGCTGGTCACCTCCCCACATCCTCATCCAGGCAAGACATGATCCCAATACTATACAAACTTGCTCCATTTGCAAGTACATCATGAGAGAGGCATTTTAGCTGCTCGCATTGTATGGTCTGAGGACAGCAGGGCACGTCAGTTTCCAGGATCAAATGAGTGCTGGACTCTACTAAAGACCACGCTTCCTGCAGTGCATGTTACATCCTGGTGTGCCTCTGTTCACATCACTGGGAGCCTTATTTATGAATCTGCACCAGCCCAGGAAAAAGTTGGATTCTCTTTGTAATGTCTGCTCCCAGCTGCTCTGGGCCAGGCAAAATAAAAGGTAGCAAGGATCCTCTCTTTTCTGTGCTTAATATCCCACCCTCCTGGCACCCAAACATCATGGAATAGGAAAGTGTGATTTGAAAGCAAGATAAATAAACTGCAGGGGCACATGGCCCAAGACAACGACAGGAGATTGGGAGAAAGAGAAACTGGGATCAGCTGGGCAAGGAAACTGGGACTTGGACTTGATGCAGAGCTGGGAAGACTGGAACTAGCTGAAGGAGGAGATAGGGATTAGGAATTTGGGAGAGCAAAGGAGATAGGGCTGGGTGCAGGGCAAAGCTGATGCTAGTTTGGTGAAGACTGTAACGAGGAGCTTTGAGGAACAGAGAGTGAAACAGGACAGACACGGAGAAGTCCTAGGACAAGGAGCCGGAGCTGGGTGAAGAGAAGGCATGGAGAGTTGGAGGGGATGGGGCAGAAGGGACACAGAGTTTGGAGAGGATGACCCACTACAGCACATTCCTTTCCAGAACCTGGAATGAAATCCAGGATCCCCAAGACACTCCTCTGCTGGCAAACCCACAAGCAACGTACCCCATCCCCCTCTGGCGGCGGTCCACAGAGGATGACAACCCCTCTAGCTGTTACTCAGCTCCAATAGCGGAGGTCCGTGTCAATCTAAAGTTTCCTACATCCAGCCGCAGCACCGTTGTTGTTGCTTTGCCACATGGTGGATCTTCTCCTGGCTGTTTGCTCTTTTAAACCTAGGAAATAACATACAACTTTTAAAGGAACATAAACATTATAAAAACAAACATTTAGTTTTAGGCTGCCTATGCAACCTTAGATCAGTCCTCTTGTCCATATAGATTCTTTTTTCTTCATCTAGATATGCTAGAGGTATCTGGCTGCTAACATCTTGCCTCCACCCTTTCCAGTCAAAGACATCCTTCTAAATGCTGGCAATTCACAATATCAGCTCCTGAGTCTTACTCATTAAAGATAATAAGTTTCCATTTTCTCTTTGGTTGATCAAGATGTGGAGTCCCACAAGAATGGCCTTTCCAAGAGATGCTTAGCTGGTCTGCCAAGTATCCTATGAACATATATTCTGCCCACTGAAAGCTGTTGGGAGTTCATTACTTTTATCTGCACTTGACTAGTCCATTATTCTTTTTTGGCTACAAAGTTCATCTCAATACCTAATTTTCAAAGGTTTTAGCTGTCTGCCTTCCTTAGGAGACAGGAGTTGAAGTTATGACCTCAAGATGCAGCAGAGAAAATTTAGTTTGAATTAGGAAGAACTTTCTTACTATGAGGATGGTTAAGCATTGGAACAGACCACCTAGAGAAGCTGTGAAATCTCCATCCCTGGATATTTTCGAGAGCAGGTTAGACAGACATTTTTCTGGGATGGTTTAGTCAAGGAAGATCCTGCCTTGAGCAGGGGACTGGGATGACCTTTACAGGGCCCTCCCAGCACTACTTTCCTATGATCCTATCCTGGTGTTGCATCCATATGAGATTGTAAGGCCTATTTTGTGTGTGAAACTCGGTCCTTCGCCACAGTTCTTTGGAAAATTATCTGCAAAGAAAAAAGAGAGGCATTCCTACTCCATACCTTTGCCCAAAGTTCTTCCTCTTAAGCTGCTGGGAAGCAATGTTTTAAACTGCCTATGTTATTGGTGATTATTGATTGACCCTTTATCCAAAATCGCTTTGTTGACTCATAACCATATATTTGGTAGGGGTGCACTTATAAAGATTTTTTTGGCCAATACCAAAAGCCGATTATTAACCTGCCATATTAGCCGATACCAATCGAATTGCTGATATGCAGCCTGGCAGCTTGGAGAACAGCGTCTGGCTGGTAAGTCTGTGGAGGGAAGGAACACAGGGTGGGGGGAGGCAGGGAGGGCAGATCAAGGCCTCCATGGTGAGGGAGGGAGTAAGGAAGGGGCTAGGGCAGGGCAGGCACTGCCCATCTTGGGGGGGGGGGCAGGGGACAGGATGGAGCCAGGGGTGGCTTGTCCAGGGCAGCAGTGGGGAGGGGCGGCTCCCGCTGCTGCAAACACCCTGGGGCAGCCATGGGGAGCATGTGCCTCCCAGATTTGTGGGCAGAGCAAGGGCAAGCTGCCTGCTGCAGGTTTGGGGCTGGGGCTGCGCCAGCCTCTTCTTGGCTGGAGGACTGGGCCAGGGCTGTGCTCAGGGCAGGTGGGGGCTGGGTGAGCAGCAGTGGCACTTGGAGGGGGGGCTAAAGGGTGAACTACAGCTACCCCAAAATTTGCCTTCCCTCCCAGTGCCACTGCCACCCACCCTGAGCGCAGCCCTGTCCCAGCCCCCGAGCCAAAAAGATGCCAGCACAGCCCCTGGCCCTGAGTGGGCAGCCTGCACAAATTCAGGGAGCACATGCCTCCCCTGGGGGTGCATGTAGCAGCAGAAGCCACCCCCTTCCACTCCCCAGACAAGCTGCACACAGCTCCATCCTGCGTTCTGCCCCAGCTGGCAGAGCCTGCCCCTGCCCCGCTCCCTCCTGTGCCATGGGGACCTCAGTCTGTGCTTCTCCCCCCCCCAGACTTACTGGCTGGATGCTGCTCTCCACGCTGCCAGGCTGGACTCCTGGCCACAAGCACGCTGCAGCTGCACACGTGCATGGGGCATTTATTAGTAACATTATTGGCCACATCAGCCAAAAAAAGCTGAATGCAATAATGTTAATTCTGCTTTTATTGGTGCCAATACAACATGGACCGATATATCGGTGCACCTCTAATATTTGGTTTTATCTTCAGTTCTGCTTTTCTTTTTTATTTCCTTCAAGCACCACATATATCATCTTCTTTCCCTCCTGATTACCCAACCAAATACATCTGTGATGTGTTCCAGTGGCGCACTGCTCCTGAAGAAAGGATTTAGTTGGTATGGACCATCTAAGGTCCCCCACCAGGAGAACTTTGCAATGGTAGTTCCACATTTCTCATAGCTATATGAGAGAGTACCTGTTTTGCCATAATTCTGAAGCAATGTCAAATATAGCAGAGATTTTATTCCTTATTTGTACTCTGTTTATTTAAACTATTAACGTTCTTGCAAATCCTAATTCTATAAGGATTCCAAATTCTTTCACTAGGGCCCAAAGACCATTTTGCAGCATGTTATAATTTCTTAATCTTCGGGAACTATGTAACCTGACCATATCGTTTATTGAATAATGCTAGTAAAATTGTAGAATTTTCATCCTTCATGGATGAAATTGTACAATTGCCAGGGGTTTGTGGCAGGCAGATCGTGCCTGACCAATCTAGTCTCTTTTTATGACCAGGTTACGAAACGCCTGGACACAGGAGGAGGGGTGGATGTTGTATACTTAGACTTCAGGAAGGCCTTCGATACGGTATCCCACCCCATACTGGTGAACAAGTTAAGAGGCTGTGACTTGGATGACTACACAGTCCGGTGGGTGGCGAATTGGCTGGAGGGCCGCACCCAGAGAGTCGTGGTGGATGGGTCGGTTTCGACCTGGAAGGGTGTGGGAAGTGGGGTCCCACAGGGTTCGGTCCTTGGACCGATACTCTTTAATGTCTTCATCAGTGACTTGGACAAGGGAGTGAAATGTACTCTGTCCAAGTTTGCAGATGACACAAAGCTATGGGGAGAAGTGGACACGCCGGAGGGCAGGGAACAGCTGCAAGCAGACCTGGACAGGTTGGACAAGTGGGCAGAAAACAACAGAATGCAGTTCAACAAGGAGAAATGCAAAGTGCTGCACCTAGGGAGGAAAAATGTCCAGCACACCTACAGCCTAGGAAATGACCTGCTAGGT